TCAATGTCAATTTCATTTTACATACCGAACTGCTGTGTGTGCCATCTTCCTTCATCCTTTTACATTCGGCCATACTGTCAATATTTAAAATTTGTAATCAATTTAAAGTTTTAATCCAATTACCATTTCAACAATAATAACAAAAAGACTGATACTTACTAGAAGTACATATATCCACCCTTTGGTTGCTTTCCTCCCATTGACTTCATTTTTCCTTCATATATCAGTTTGCGCAAATCAAATCAAATCAAATGCCGCTTACATACACTTTATTCAATATACAAAAATCAATAACCACTCTTTGTGGTAAAACAATTGGTCTTCAAAATAATTTGAATGACCACTACAACAAGTGTCGGCACATTTATACAACCTAAAATATCATTTTCTACCTATAATATCATTTTTACCTATAAATATTAACTAAAAGTATCGATTCGGTCCCAAATGCTTCTTTACTTCGAAACCCCCCAAATAACAACACATAATAACTCTATTTCCCATTACTATAATAATAAAAAACTAGGGTTTCAACAACGTACCTTTCGATTAGACTGCAGCAACAAACAAACAAAACTTCACGTAGAAACGCCTTCTGAAATACAACAACAATTACGCTTCGATTTCAAAAACTCTATATATTTTTAGAGGATATCTATGCCTTTATATTTACACCGGATATGTTATTTATATTTAATCGATACAACTACATAAGTGTCGATACTTTTATGCCAAGTGTCGATACTTTCGATAGAATATTTACCTATTTCTTTGAAAGTATCGATAATTTATTACGCGTACTTATTAAAGTATCGACACTCTCAACATATATGGTATCTATTTATCGGTTTTGTCATTTTGAGACCGGTTTTATCATATTTTTACCTGTTATATTGTTCTGGATCGATACATTTTCATAAAGTGTCGACACTTTTTAAGTGTTATAACTTCTTCTCTTTTAAATTCAGAAAGTGTCGATACTTATATTAAATTATCGACACTTTCAACATATCCGGTAACTTTTTCCGGTTTTGTCATTTTTGAGACCTGTTTTATCATATTTTTACCTGTTATATTGGTAAGGATCGATACATTTTAATAAAGTGTCGACACTTTTTAAGCGCTATAACTTCTTCTCTTTTAAATTCAGAAAGTGTCGATACTAATATTAAATTATCAACACTTTCAATATATCGATAACTTTTTCTGGTTTTGTCATTTTTGAGACCAATTTTATCATATTTTTACATGTTATATTGTTATGGATCGATACATTTTTATAAGTGTCGACACTTTTTAGTTTAATTTCAGAAAGTGTTGATACTTATATTAAATTATCGACACTTTCAACATATCCGATATCGTTTGACTGGTTTTCAATTTTTGGGACCTGTTTTATTATATTTTTACCTGTTATATTGTTGTGGATCGATATTTTTTTTTAAAGTATCGACACTTTATAGGCACTATAACTTCTTCTCTTTTAAATTCAGAAAGTTTCGATACTTATATTAAATTATCGACACTTTCAATATATCCAGTAGCGTTTTATTGGTTTTGTCAATTTTGAGACATGTTTTATCATATTTTTACCTGTTATATTGTTATGGATCGATACATTTTCATAAAGTGTCGACACTTTTTAACCGTAATAACTTTTTCTCTTTTAAATTCAGAAAGTGTCGATACTTATATTAAATTATCGACACTTTTAACATATCCGGTAACTTTTCTCGGTTTTGTCATTTTTGAGACATGTTTTATCATATTTTTACCTGTTACATTGGTAAGGATCGATTCATTTTCATAAAGTGTCGACACTTTTTAGGCGCTATAACTTCTTCTCTTTTAAATTCAGAAAGTGTCGATACTAATATTAAATTATCGGCACTTTCAATATATCCAGTAACTTTTTTCCGGTAACTTTTTTCGGTAAGGAGCGATCCATTTTTCATTTGTATCGACACAAATCGACAAGCTAAGTTTATCGGTTGCCAAATTTTTTAATATTTCTTAATGATTTAGTCCTACTACATTATTATTACTCAACATTTCCGATAGCGCTAAATCGAATATTATAAATATATTATAATATATCCGGTAACACCGTATATTAATCGTATATTAACCCACATTTCCGGAGACAATCTAAAAAAAAAAAGAATCAAAACAAAAGAGGGCTCTTTAATCGATAAATAATTTGGATGTTTGTAAACAAACATAGACATTAAAATATAACATAATAATAATGTTGAATCCCACACAATTATTTATCGGCTCAGCACCTGGGAGTCGTTATAGGAGGTTCTGGAGTGTGTCCCCTAAAATAAGGTTAATTAACCGCGTGAACGGTAGAAAGGGTTACAGATTAAGGGTGTGACCTATAATATTTTAACTCAAACCAAAATAATTACGAGTTGGAATAATAGAACATGTTTTAAATAGCGTGATGGATTTAAATAAGTTAAATTTTAAAATCACGTTGCAATCTGAAATATTATCATTTTAAAAATTAAAAGTGATTACGCCTAAAATATTATGAAATTTTTAGTCGACAAAGTCTTGGTGTTCCTCACGACAATCAAATAGGTTAAGAGCACAAAGTATTACGATTATGCAAAATAGAAATGGTTGCGCCCCAGAATATTACGGTTCTAGAGAAAATAGGTTGCGACTTATAATGACAACTTGTGTATTAATAGAATAGATTGCACCCATAGTGTCATGACTCCTAAAGAAAGCATGTTGCAATCTTGAATATTATCATTTTAAAAAATAAAAGTGATTGCGCTTAAAATATTATGAAAGTTTTAATCGATGGAGCCTTGGCGTTACTCATGACAATCAAATAGGTTAAGAGCACAAAATATTACGATTAGACAAAATAAAAATAGTTGCGCCCCAAAATATCATGGTTTTAATAGAAATAGGTTGCGACTTATAATGTCAAGTTGTGTATTAATATAATAGATTGCGCCCAGAGTGTCATGACCCCCAAATAAAGCATATTGCAATCTGGAATATTATCATTTTAAAAATAAAAGCAATTAAGCCTAAAGTATTATGAAAGTTTTAACCGATGAAGTCTTGACATTCCTCGCGATAATCAAATAGGTTAAGAGCACAAAGTATTACGATTAAGAAAAATAGGAACAGTTGCGCCCAAAATATCACAGCTCTAAAGGAAATAGATCGCGACTTGTAATGTCAACTTGTGTATTAATAGAATAGATTACGCCCAGAGTGTCATGGTCTCCAAAGAAAGCACGTTACAATCTGAAATATTATCATTTTAAAAAATAAAAGTGATTGCACCTAAAGTATTAAGAAAGTTTTAGCCGATGAAGCATTGGTGTTCCCCGCGACAATCAAATAGGTTAAGAGCACAAAGTATTGCGATTAATCAAAATAGAAACGGTTGCGCCCATAATATATGTGCATAGGTCTGATACTTTTAAATACAATTCTCCATTCCCTTTATTTACAATTTGAAAGTATCGATACTCGGAGAAAAACTTTCGATATAATCGATTTCCAACTAAAAAAATTGTACCCAGCGATCGGAAAAATTATACGTTACCTTAATGATATTGGTTGAAATTTAAAATTTTACCTTCTTAGTGTCACAACATTATTTAAAGTCGTTATTGTTATACATTTTAGTGATATTTTAGGTTTCGACTACAAAAAGTAAGCTCTTGTTGCCCTCTTCCTTCACACATTAATGTTATAAGTTGATCTCTCTACTATAATCGATTTCGCTCTGAACTTGTTAAACAATTCGAAAATATCAAAATTCTTCTAAGTGAGTTTCGATACTAACAGGGAACATAAGTTACCCGGTTAAGCCATTCTTTTGTTTTCTAAACTACATAAAACTTAATATATTACACTTAATTTAATATTTTCGGTAACGTTTAACCTATTTCATTAAGTTCCTTAAAAATTTCCTGTTACACCATTTTTTTAACCTTATATTATATTGTCATTCTTTAAAATTATCTGTGGTTATATGAATTTGGAAAATAGGAAAGTAATGTGAGTCGGATCGGGATCAATAATTGGTGGGTAATTTCTTGATTCTCAAAACCCTCTTTCCAAATCCAAAGATATTGGGCAAACAAACTTTACTAGGGATTTTATTATATTTAATATTTGAGCGGCAGAATTGGACTTTTGACAGGCCATAAGTATTTATGTTAGTAATTTTTTGTTAACGGTCTTAAATTATAATATTAACTTTTTTATTATATTTAATATTTAATGGTTTTTTGGCCAACAATACATTATACTTAAAATAACTTCTGGGGAAATTTTTTTTTTTGCTTAAAAATATCTTTCAATTATTGAATGTAAATATAATCTTCTTTTTGTTATAAGATTATGAAGAATTTAGATCCAGTTGGCACTTTTTGTAGGAAGGTCACTTTATCCATCATTATCAGTAATAATTGGCTAACTAATTTATCATCTTAATTCATTTTCATGATTTTTCAAATCAAATTAAATTAAATATTTTATTTAAAACATTTAAAAAATAAATCAAATTAAAATCTTTTTAATAAAAAATCAAATTAAAATCTTTTTAATAATGTGACTAAATTATACGCTAAAATAGCTAAATTTAAAACCATGTATGCATAAAGACAAAAATAAAATATCTTACTATAATAAACTTGATTTGATAAATTTTTTTGTTTAATACCTCAAACTTCTCATTTTAAGGAAACAAATAATATTTTTTGTTAATTAACATTTTTTAATAAAACTTATATAATTTTATTTAATTCTTCATAATTTTTATATAATTTGCAAAAGATCATTTTAATATTTTTTCTTTTTTTTCTTGAATTTCTTGTATATTTTTGCTATTCGATTTATACAAGTTGTAAAATCCAACCATATCAAAATTGAAAAATCAAATAACTTGAATTAAAAAAATCCGAATAATTAACTCAAAATTCAAAACAGAATTTCGACATGGAATAAGATGTGGGTGGAAGAACACGACGAAACACATGAAGTGCAATAGTCAATAATCCCACAAATTCTCCATCTACGCCCTTAGTTACCTGGTTTGAGATATGGCCGTCTGTGTTCTATTCGGCTAGTTTCTTTACCATGGCAGCGTGCTTTTGTCCGGTAAGATGATAGTCGAAGACCTTCGGACTGTTGCATACTACATTACAAATAATGCACACCCTTACCGCAGTGGCAGCGGCTCCGCCCTCCACCACTTTTTTCTTCGTCTCCAAATCCTCTTTCAGTGCCTCGGACTGCACTATCATCTTTTCTGATTTATGTACATTAACACTACTGCAACCATCGGCAGATGGGTTCTCTGCTGTTCCAATAATCAGATTAGTAGCAATCGGTGTATCAATCGGAGATGAATAACACGTGCTGTTCTTATATTTTTCCAAATTCTCGAGGTTCTTCAGGTGTTTTTTCCCGGACAAGTGTTTTGCGAAGACATCGGTGCTGGTACAGCTGATTTGGCAGACTCCACACCATGTAGGTTGATTGATCTTATTCTTAGTCACCTTCTTGCCTTTATTCCAAAATTGATCATTAGCTCGGATGGAAGCAAGATAAGGTCCAATCCCGTCGATGCCTATTAAACCGGCCTGCATATACACGTTAAGAATCATGCAACTTGAACACTTGCTAAAATGGAAAACATAAACCAAAGATAACAAATGGATTTATAAAACAGGTTCCATATGGGGAAACATTACTAGAACGAATAAATAATCGTACTAATATGGCGAAAGTAAACAAAACACACACATCTACACTTATTCCAGTACAAATAATGCCGTATCTTGGCCATTGGGGATTCTCGGTTTTAGAAGCTAGGGTTCAAATCCCGAACCTGCTGAATGCCACCTCTTATGTAGAGCCGCATGCAAGTTTAAAATGGTAAAATATAAATAAATAGGAAACACTCGGAGTTTAATTCTATTCCGAAGAAAAGACATCGATTATTTAATGTACCTGAGTAGCATGTCTTCTTCCAGAAAGATGTTTAATGAACGCATCATGACTGTTACAAGCAACATTGCATATGGTGCACATCTGAACGGAACCAATAGGAGTCCCGGCATTCAGAAGCTGTTGCCTCTTTCTCTCCAACTCGTGGACGTTTTCCACACCAGAGGACCTGAATACCAACTGCCCACCAACATTTCCTGTTTGGCCCATGATACCAACGTTATTGATAGTGTTACAAGTCTCCGAAAATATTGAGGTAATGGGATTTATCATCTCTTGCAAATTCCTCAGGTGCTTCTTTCCTGCAAGATGGCTCTCGCAAACATCTTTTGTTTTGCACACAACATTACAAACCTCACACCGCAATTGTCGAATCGGGCTGCTTTGATTCGGCAAGCTTCCTATTATATTATTCACCAAAGATTTCTTCATCAAATCATTGTTACCTATGGAATTCAAAGCGGCTACCGATGACTGCAAACCCGGAAATATATAAAGCATAAAAAACCCAAAAGACGAAAAGCCATTCATCTATTCAACCAACACATAAAAATAACCCGACAAAACAGTCGATGATGATAGCCAAATCATCAAATAAACACATATTTCTGAATATAAATAACATCAGTGGATGTATTTTACGGATATTTACAAACATAAAACTCGAACTTCATTGGTAGAAAACATTCATCTATCACTGTCGATCCAGAAACAAAACACAACATATTCCAATGCAAGATCTTACACATTTGAACTAGTACTGGCTTATTCAGATTATAAATAATAATTAATGATAATGCTCAAACAAATTAGAACAGACGAACCAAAACAAATAAAATGAAAACGCCCGATAGAAGTTAACACATTTCCGATACAAGATCCAAATTGCACATTAAGCAATGCAGAAAAGAGAACTTACAGTAGCATCGTATCTAATGGAATCAGCCTGTTTAGGGATCCAACTTCGGGAATCAGCATTTGGGTCCTCACAAAATTGAGCCTGGGGTTCGAAATCAACATTGGTTAAGGTTAACTGGCCCAGGGAGGCATACAGGTCGGTTACCGGAGGGAACAAGAGTGCCTGAGAGGGAAGTGATGGTGTTTGAGGGAACGATAATAGAGAATTGGGGAACAAATTCGAGGAGTTAGGGAAGTAGGTTAATGAAGATTGCTGCTGTAATTGGAACATTTCACGTTAATCTGAAGATAATTTCTACGGCTAGGATTTCTTGTTGGTCACTGTCAAGTGTCAAGTATTTGTGCAGTTTGAGATTCAGTAGAGAAGATGAAGAGCGCCTAATGGGCCGTTTGAAGTTGATCCTAATTGGGCCAGGGTTAAACTCTGTTCTAATAGACTTGAGGTTTTTTTCTGGCCCAATATCCCAGACGGGTAAAAAATATATGGTATTGGGTCTCCCCAAATTTTATTTAGCAAACTATGACATTTGATACAATCTGTCTGGAACTTTTCACCATGTAGTTGTCCTCACGTGGACCATTATTTAATTGAGGTTATAATGTCTCGTCACGTCAAAGTGACGAGTCCATTAAAAGATATTTTTTTAAATTTTAAAAAATAAAATTGATAAAATAAAAAAAATCAATGGAACTCATCACGTCGAGGTGATGATTTCCCTCGAATTTAAAGAAAGTAGTTGTGTGTTAGTCTTTATACAACGAGCAACAACAGTTAAGGGAACTCGATGTGACGAGTTCGGTCGGGGATAATTTTAAAAAAATTAAGAGAAAAATCAATTTATTTAAATTTTACGAAATACAAAGTAAATAAATAAATGTAAAAATATTTTTTACATGAAAATTATAAAGTAAAAATCAATTTATTTATGTCTTCTAAGTTATTGATAATGATGTGGAGTGGTTGAATGATAATGCCACGGGGCTCTTCAAATACGCCGGGGTCGTAGGACTTAATCAGTGTCGTCGTCGTCTTGCCAAGCAGGTGTACCCAACACACTCTGTGATCTACCTTTCAAAGATGGTGATCTATTTATGATATTTGACGCCATCATCGTCGTAACTGCTTCGACTTGGCTTTAGTGACTATATAGGATATGATCTCACTCACCCGCAATCGTATGTTCTGTCAAAGATGCTTAAGTGTACTGTGGTGTATCCCATGAACCTTCAACTTAATTCGATCGAGTCTCAACTGAAGTATGAAATGGAAGATCATAACTGAAACTAGCTTGAGATGCGTAATAGTACTCTTCAGCCACAGATGCTGAAGTGAAAGAAGATGACGATATTGTTTTCTTCTTGGACTTGGACTTGGCACATATGACCTGATGATGTTTCCATTCTTCCATCTCTTCCGGTGCCGTGAGATATGGTTTGTCATTTTGTTCGTAAATCCAGAGATGGTAGGAATGGTCAAAATCTAAGTCCAGCGGTGTAATGTCCTGACGATAGGGGAGCGATAGTTCATGCTGATTCCATAGGTCGATGTAGTAAGCGTGTCGCACCGGCCAATTTTCATCATATTTCCCACGCGTATCGATTGCATGGAGAGTGTCCATATCAACCTTGATTTCCGTAGGAATCGGTTAGTGTGCCGCAAACTGTCGTATTACTCTATCAGTCGCGTGCCACTCAACAATCACTTGGTACAATAACGGCGTCACGACAAACCATAAGTTGGAACCCTATAAAAATTATGCCTGCAATACACGGTTGATCTCCATGTCAATATACGGAAGCCAAGAGAACTGTAAATATTAAATATCAAAGTTAGTATACATAAAGTTAAAAGGTTCAATAATAATAATAATAAAAATATCTTGTTATACCGCGAATCGACCAGCGATGTTGATTCTCATCCGTATGTCTCGTACATCGGCACCTGCCAACTTCGTCTCCATTATTTTTTGACGCCATCTAAAATATTTAAAAATAAAAAAATATTATAAACAAATAAAAAATAAATAAATTTTAAGATTAAAAAAAAGGTTAAATAAATGAAGTTAAACAATTACTTTGCAGCCAGTAGAAACTCGATTGGGGCATTTATAATTGGCGTAAAAAACGACAAGCGATACCAGACCTAGGACTGTAGCAGTAACAAACATCATGCTACATCAGCTTTTCGACCACGCTGGACAGTTACAGCCTTGCAAAGCTACCGGTAAAGAAAGGTCAAAATCGTCGAGCCCCAACTAGTACTACGGTACACATTGAAATCTTCCAAATATCGTAGATACCAGGTGTAGACACATAATTTCGTCACACATTTATATATGATTATTTAACGTATATATATATATATATATATTTACAAATTGTTTTATCATATTTGCAGGCCCATTACACGTAAATAAAAATGGCCCAAGTGACCCAGGCCCAACAGTTCGTTTCTGATGCTTCCAAACCCTAGCACGCCCCCTCACCAGCAGCGTCGCATCCCTTATTTCCAGCCGCTCGAGGACACCGTAGCTTTCACACCTCTCCAACAGTCCCCGAGTCCTCCGATGCAAGAGTCACAACCATTATCATCAACCAAAGCAACAATCCAGCATTAGAGTTCCATTAGGATTCAAAAATGTAATTTTAAAATATTTTTTTACAGTATAAATAAACATGTAATCAACCTATTGTAGAGGGGGATTACACGAAATAAAAGCAGAAATTCCAAGCAAAATTAGAGCAAAACCGGAACGTTTTTGAGAAGAACAAAAGGTAAAGCTTGTACCTTTTTTTTTCGTTTTGATACTTGCATGCGTTCGTTTTGTTATTATTGATTCGGAAAACCGCCAAAGGAAACGTTTTGGCCGATGAACATAAGGGGTAAACCGAAGATCTTCTCCCTTATATCCACGGTTCCCCGAGGCCCGATTTAGAAAAGACTTTGATTTTTGAAACGAGGGTAAAACGATCTATTGAATGGCCAAAAAAAAAAGGTTTTGCCGCCGATGAACGGCGGCGGCGAGGCGGTGCTAAGGTGGCCAGAATCTGGGTTCATGCGAGAACCCAACCATGTTCTTATTTTTAAAGAACAGACGAGAGAAATGTTGAGAGGGAGGGAGTGACTCGGCTAGGGAAGAAGAGAAAATGAATTTTTAAACAAATTTTTGGCTTTTATACACAACCCATACCCGACCAGTTAACCCGCGTGTTGACCCGACCCAGTCTTCTGACCCGCATGTTTTTACGTATTTAAGGGTAAATCCCTTTTTGGACCCCTATTGTTTTAATTCTTCCATTATCGCCCTAACCTCTCTTAAAATTGATCCCCAACTCTGTATTCATTCAATTCGATCCCCATGTTTTTTTTTATTTCTTAATTTAAATGTTGTTTATTAGCATTTATATTTAATTATATAGTTTTATTATATAGTTTTATTATTTATTTTTTTTCTTGATCTATACCATTCGGTATTTTAATATATATACATGTTTATATTCTATATTACTACTATATTTTATTATTATCTATATGTACTTTTAATATTTTATTATATATACTTTAGTTATTTGTCACTTGATTATTTTATTATTTTATAAGTCATTATATTTGTATATTTATAACTAATATCATTTTTTTTTCTAAACTACTTATGTATATAAAATATATTATTATTATTATTTCTTTGCTTTTCTTCTTTATCTTATCTATTTATTTATTCACTTTTCCCTTTTTTATTTCCTTTATCTTTGATCTATTTGCTTATGCTTATTTATTTATTTATGTATATATTGTCTTTGCTCTTTTTATCTTGTTGTATTCTTTTTCCTCTTTATTTTATTTTCTTTATGTTATTCGTTTTATTCACTCTGACACATTCACTTTTAAAGGGTACAACTTTCGAATCAATCTACGGTAAGTAATTCGGATCGATATTTTACCTTCTAATTTAAACTTATATATTTCTTAATTAAGACAACTGGCAATTATAGAGTACCGAAAGGGCAGTTCAAGGGTGCTAACCCTTTCTTGACTGTAACCGACTCCCGAATCCGACATATCTTTGGTAAGACGCAGATCAGGTAAGAAATAAGGTACCCGATTAACCTATTTATTTTTAAATAAATAATCGGTGGCGACTCCAATCCACATTTTTCAAGTCGAAGCCCAATTCTAGGGCCCAACCGAAAGACGGTTGCGACAGCTTGGCGACTCCGCTGGGGACACATGTAAGTGAGTCAGGCTAAGGTAATTTCCAGTTGTCTTTTTAATGAAAGCGGTAAGTTTAAATTTTAAGGTAACATTTCGATCCTTATTGCTTACTTTTGATTATATTTTTCCGAGTAAATAGTTGACTGACCGTTTTCTAATGATTTGAGCTTCCCAAACTTTTTTCATCTAAGGCTCTAAACCCGAGCTCCGAACCAGTTTTAAGTGGGGGTGAAAGCGACGCATTCGTGTGAATTTATTCACCGCATATGCCTAGCAAGTAACCTTCGGGATTCATATACCTTTTGTCTTCGTGTGAATTTATTCTCCGCATAGACATAAGGGAATGTGTCCTCTCGAGTTTAACTTAGTCCACACAAGCCTGTGATGGGTTTAGGACTAAGGGTCTGGCAAGCCCAAGGGGGTCACCAGCAAGGAGAACTCGGGTACATTTTTTAGAACCTAAACCAGGAGACTATGGAGAAATAGAGCCCACCCCGAAACCTCATTTCAAACCCTAGGCTATTTCGATTATTTGCTGCTTTATTTCCTGTTCAAAGCATGTGAACTAGAAATTTATGCGGATTAGGACTTGTTCAAAATCAACTTATGGGATAGAGATCATGCCCAGGTAGGAATAATAAGCATGTGGGGTAGATATCGTTTGGGGTAGGATTTTTTATTTTTATTATTATTTTGATTTACCTCACTAACTCTTTTTGTTTTTGTTCTCTTTTATCTTGTTTTCATCACTTGCATCATTTAAAAGAGGTGTTGATCCACCAAAAGTGTGTTTGTTAAACATAAATAATCTGAATTAATGGACAAAGGGGTTGTAATACAAGAGATAAAAATGCAGAGGACAGTCTACAAGGCGATTATGTGTCATATTCAATCCTGAAGGCGTGGTGCCCACAATTGAGGAATATATCACTTTACTGCGTTATAAAGGACTCAGAATGAATCGGGTCTGCATCAAGCACATTGAAAGTCTATCTTGGAAAAACTGACTGGCAGAGGTTACAGGGGCAAGATGAAGGTTACTGATCTTAGGAGTCCCTTCAAAGACAACAATGACAAAACGATGGCTGAAATTAGAGACCAT